TTACAGGCCCAACCATATTCTCACCTGAAAAAACAGTGTGCGACACTGAAAGTGGGTCATACTTTATCTCGTACAACTCCTTTGGACAAACTCTGAGTCCTGTCTCATTGAACTAAATAAAAGAAAAAAGAAACAGATAACATTAAAAATAAAGGAGTAATACTCAATTAAATATTATATGAAAAGGGATGAAATACAGTAGAATGAGAAGGCAATTTCCATTACATATTGTGGAGTTAGCCAATGAAGCAAATAGCAAGTCGAAAGCGAAAAATACCAATAACATCTGCTGAAACTCTAGTTTAAAAGTTAGGAGGCAGATTTCCCGGGGCAAAAAGAAGGGGGAAACAAGGGGAAATATTGAGATTTTAGGATGTTGAGTGGTCGACCCTTCCTCAACCCAAGCTGTTATCCCATTGTGCATCGGTGGCAGATTTCCACCACTGGTTGAATGATTTGCAGAAACAAACACATTCGGGGTGCTGTTGTATTTCTCATTGAAGGAGACATCCTGCGTAAAAAGCAGATCGAATCCATTTCAAAATTGACCTAGCTTTGCGAAGGAGGGAGAACTTAAATAGTGCTCGTTATGCTTTGTTTCTTTGTAGGTCTGTTAGTTTGTTTTCTTCTGATTTTCAAAGGAACACTCCTTGTAGTAATTTTACACTGACCTACTGAATAACAATGTTTTTCATTACGGTTCAATTCAAAAGTAAGGACAATAACACTATCCCTTGTGGAACCCGCTTTTGACGGCGAGAATGAAAAGGACATTTTTTATGGGAAAAAATTAATTGGCATTGGACAAACGTTTTTAGCTCGGCTGTACCTTGCAATAAGCGCTGTTAGGATCAGCAGGTGCGACTGAGAGTTAGAAAAATAAACAGAGGTGTGTTCAGAGAAGAGAGGCTTGTGCAGAGATAAATATACCAACCATTTCTGAAACATGAAATTAAAAATGATTCGTTATCGCTTAATTTTGTGTTAATTTATCCAAGTGTAGCTCACCGACTTCTAGCCTTGTTTTTGAAAAATACGACCACTTGATAAAAGGAGAGTGGCAAGGTTACCACAATTTACAAAGAAAAATAAAGCATGCAAAAATAAAAAAAAACAAACAAACAAACAAAGACAAAAGCAAAACAAAACACATAACCACACACGCACATAAAAGAAAAATACAGTGGTGCCCCTCTATGGATATCATGAATAACTGCAAGTAACTGGAATGTGTATTTACAACGTGAACATCCTAATGAGATCCTGCATAATTCTGAAGCTCCCTCAAGCAAACTTGGAATAAGGATTGCATTCTAAATAAATTTAAACCACCCAGTAGGAAAAATATATTGAAAAGAGAAAGCCAAATTAAAATTACAAACAAATTCAACCGGCAGGGATCGAACAGCAGTACAAACCAGTGTTTTATTTTGTTAAAGATAACTAACATAGACTGTACTTTAGGTGGCACACCTGTGGGTGCAGTGTAACCTATTGTTTTAATTAGGAATATGTAACTAACATAGGCTGCACTTTAAGTGGCACACCCATGGGTGCAGTGTAACCCAGTGCTTTATTTAGTTAAAGATACTAACATAGGCTGCACTTTAGGTGGCGCATCGATGGGTGTAATGTAACCCAGTGTTTTTATTTAGTTAAAGGTAACTAACACAGGCTGCACTTTAGGGGCCACACCCATGGGTGCAGAGTAACCCAGTGTTTTAACCGGATAGATGTAACTAACATAGGCTGCACTTTAAGTGGCACACCCATGGGAGCAGTGTAACCTAGTGCTTTATTTAGTTAAAGGTACTAGCATAGGGTGCACTTTAGGTGGCACACCCATGAATGCAGTGTAACCCACTGTTTTTATTTACTTAAAGATAAATAACATAGGCTTCACTTTAGGTGGCACACCCACGGGTACAGTGTAACCTAGTGTTTTGTTTAGTTAAAGGTAACTAACATAGGCTCCACTTTAGGTGGCAATAGCAGCCTTCGTGCAGTATCTCCTGATGGCCGCTTTCTGCTGGACGCTTGTCGAAGGAATTCATCTTTACCTATTTGTTGTAAAAGTTTACAACATCAACGACAACATGACGGTGTCACATGGAATTTCATGGGGTAAAAATTAATTCTAAACTTATACTCTCATTGATAATTTTTTGAAAAGCAAAGGATGAATAATTACTATTACTATTTTCATCACTTTCATCACTACCATAATCATCACAGCCTTGTAGTTTGACATTGTAATCATTTCGAGATTCAAATGCACAGGTCTACCCGCCCTCGTCGTTTCCATATCGCTGGGCATTGCAGCAGGAAGCAAACAGGGGATTACAAGCTATTTCAGTGAAAAACTGTAAGAATTAAGGACTTTTTTCTTCCGATCCACGAGATCTCTGTCACAAAACCTCGTCTTCTGTCTTTTCGTTTGTTTGTTTATTTTGTTATTTCTCTTGTCATTTCTACTTGTAAGCAAACCGGGCAAAGAAGATACTGTGTACATGCATGTGCACAAAATAAATAATTGATTGATATTTTATCAAAGTTTCCAATACCTGTTTTACTTCAGCTCCTGGAGTTCATCTACTAACGGGATGAGATGCATTTGTCGTTTTCGTTGTGCTGATTAAGTTGGTAAATTGAACTCTTAAGGTTTGTTTCACGTTCACCTTTTGCCTTCAGTTATCGTTAGAATCGCGACGATGTTTTCTTTCTTACCACTTACTTCTAACCTCATTCACTATGTTCAATAGTATTCCGCGAAATATAAAGTGTACGTGTTTTCCTTGGAATACATCGTTGTTAGAGGATACAGTAAGCGGTTGACGCGCTGGACGGCAGATTAAGAAGTCCTGGTTCGAAACTTTATCGGTTGATTGTTTTGTGTTGTTACGCGAGACAATGCTTTTCTTCCCCTCCACCCAGGTACATAAATGTCTACAAATGCATTTTCAGGCAAACCAGAGAAACTTAATGGAATGATAAGGATGGGGAAGTGTGAAACTGAGGCCACTTAGACTACTTCGCTTAAGTGCAAACTTTGCTCTACCTCCAAATCATGTCGTTTTTTACTTAGTTTGGTAAGTGTATATTCTTTATTTATTTTATTATTTTTTTTTTTCAGTTAAACGCGATGCTGCTGGGGTGAGTCGCTATAGAAATGACAATCATACCGCATGCGAAAGACAAACACGGCGAAAAAAATAAGGTCAGTATTTCAGCGGCGTTAGTGGAATATAAATTACGGTAAGCCAATCGCGTTTTTCTTCACTCGTTTGTAGGAGTAATGCCTGCTTACAACAAAAATAAAAGCAACCTATCCTCTTTTTTTTTTCTTTTTTTTTCCCATAATGTTATAGGCTTGGAGTCAGGGCATGCATGATGATGACTCCTTTGCTGGGGATCACGTGGCCATTTGGTCTTCTGTTGTCCTTGCACAAAGAGGTCGCCTACCTTTTCACAATTTTCAACTCCACGCAGGTAACTTAAACACAGCTTTTACAAAATGAATTCCTTTCAACATGTGGTAGCTAGCTGGGGTACTTCCGTTTCAATGGATCTCACCAAAGCTGAAGTCAGTAATCAGGGTGTATCTCTACTCATATTAGAGCACAAGCTCATCACTGTCTATTACGAATTCTCAGGTCTCTCTGATACTCATTTATCTTTTTAAGCGAACGTTCTATACCATCACAACATGCTCGGAAAATAGGTTAGAGCGTTTTTCAGTAAAGAACGTTAACGAGAGAAAAAAAAAACAACTAACAAACAGATCATAAGGATTCTAATTTTGTCCATAAAAATATCGATCACTCTTTACAATGATGAGAAAAAGTAAAATTTAATTTTTCGGGATTAAAAAAAAATAATAATAATAAAACCAATCTCACGATCGTGAACCTGCAATGATGACGGTTTTCGTCATCTTATAAAATTGATCTTATATTATTGATCTTATAATATTGATCTTATGATATTGCTACTCCGTAAAGGAAATAACTTGTGCTACCCCTACCCTAGTAGTTTAGCAGGTGGTAAACTTAGTGTAAAGCAATCTGACAAAATAGAAAACTTGTGATTAATACCAGTAGGTTGGACATTTTGCTGCCCATGAAATTGCATATTGAGGGAGCTGGGGGGGAGGGCGTGGATGAAAGCTCTCTGAGTCTACACAGGCAATAAAAAAGGTTATACTAAAGGCGTTAACTTGAGATCCCACTTTATAATTTGACAGGGCTTCTAAATATTTCTCCTTCCCTGCGTAGGAAACTCAGAGGTATGTTATTCCATGTAGTTTTAAGCCGTCTTTGTGCCTTTGTTCAGATTTTTTCAAACTAGGATTCGAATTTTAAATAAGAATTTTAATTCAATAGTTGTATCGATCCAATTCAAAGCACGATCAATTTTAAAATTCTTCTGATCGTTTTGATTTAACCTTATCTTTGTAGATTAGATCTCGCTTCAAAAAAGGATCAATGGCGTCACCCCAATTGTAGTTGAGGGAACGAGCATTAAGCGAGTCTCGCAAGTGACTGAATCTGGGGTGCCAAGGAATATTCATGTCCAGCCTCGCAATAGCATTGAAAGTGGTGTTGGAGTCTCTAAGATCTGAGTCGATATCGTAGTCTTTTTCCACCGTCTAGATCTGTGTATATCTTAAATGAAGTGAACATTCGTTTAGAAAGCTTGGTACACCTCAGAAGAGATGGATAACCCGCAGGAGCTAACGCTCTGATAAAGGCTGATAGTTTCGAAGGAAACTGTTTGGGGCTGCGTCGGTGAAAGTAACGAAATAATTTGGATATATCAACAAAGTTGAAATGTAAATTGGCCACCGTAACGATTACAAAAGCTGACGTTTCGGGTGTTAGCCCTTTGTCATTCGCTCCGACGAAGGGCTAACGCTCGAAACGTCAGCTTTTGTAATCGTTACGGTGGCCAATTTACCATTTCAACTTTGTTGATATATTCAAATTATCTCGTTACCCCCACCGACGCAGCCCCAAGCAGTTTCTTTAGAAACTATCAGCTTTATTCATTTATTTATCTACATATTGTCTTGACTCGTTTTATGAAACCATGAGGGACTTTGATTATATTTTCATTTCTAAAGAAGATTGCGAATTTTTGTTTAAACGGGTCTAGGCTCCTTCGACCTCCTCCCTTTGCGTTAAAAATTAACTTAGGACAATACCCTTGTGTATCTATATGAAATTTAGTTTTTAAATTGCACGTAGTTATATTGAGCAATCAATTTCTAAATTGTTTTGAATGTCTACTAATTTTGAACTGCGACATAGTGATTTTGATTCCTGAGCACTGCAGAAAATTAATATGTGCCGCAGTAACGAAGAGAACATGTAGGTGTTCCAGTTATGTAGTATACGTAGTAAGCACCACAATTTCTCACAGTGATGGATTTTGACCAATTGCAGCAGCTATAATCCCAATGAAAACAGACTCGTCTCCTGACCTGACCATCAGCCACTGAGGGATGTCCACCAGTCAAATATCCAGGTGCATGAGTGTTGCAACGGTTCTTAGACTGACAGGATGTGGCCATTCTTGAACCTGCAGAACCTTCAAAACGAAACCAGCCAGAGAGTCCACTGTCACAATACGTATTAGTATTTCCGTAAGATACATGTCTGTCCCTGCCACTCAGACTTTGGTAGTTTTGACATTCTAAGGAACAAAAGAAAGGTAGAAATTTAAAAACGCAAAGTTCAGTCTGCTAGGTGGGACACACATTTGAATTAAACAGGCTTTAAAAATTCTCTCTCTTAACTTTTTGTGACTAAAATCCCTAGTCTTTTATTATTTACATCATAGCTTCATTTATTGCGTGCAGAGGTTGAAATAATTCTAGTTGAGCCCCTGCCCGTGAAGAAGGAACATGAGAATGGGGAGAGATGGAAGCACCTCCATCCATTACAGTTTATGTATATGGAGGATACAGTAGTTGTCAACTTAATGGTATGCATAGTTATTCGAAAAGGTTTCTTGATTTTTCCTCTTTACTACGTGAGGGACACAGCAGTATGTCGTCCTGTATGTCTAACAGGTAGCTAGTGATCGTGTGGCTGTGAGTCGAAATAGTTGTTGGTTTATCGTCTCCCAAAAGACACTCTTTACCTGACACGGAATGCCTGCACGTTTTTCCATCTCCTGTGTAAAACCTGTTACATGAACAGCTGTAAGACCCTGCACTATTGATACATGACCCAAAACGGTGGCAGCCATGAACACCGCTGGTACATTCATCAATGTCTGCGGACATTAAGACCACCGAGATTATGAATGAAGTAAGCGAAAAAAAAAAAAACAAAACAAAAAAACAAAAAAACAAGGGGGGACAGCATCCTACATGTATTTGCAAACACAAATTCAAATTTCAAAAAAAGTTTTCGTTCATTACTTGTTATCCTCCATAAGTCAGAAAACTATTTATTTCAATTAACGATTCAACCTATTGAATAACGTTCACTCAGGCACCGAAGAAAAATTTACTGAGGACGAAGTTGAAGTTTTATGATACTGCTGTCATATATCAGCTAAAACGCCTTTTAGAGATTTTTCAGACCTTAGTCCAGACAAAAAAAAAGGAAAAAAAAAAGAAGCGCGAAAAGAGCGAGATTCTGATCTCAAGTCACGTGATTCGTTGCGTGATACGATGCAAGAAATGTACAAATCGTATGCAAAACCGCAGTTTTTGTATATAGACTTTTTAATTAAAATTTATTGGAACTGCGATCAATCTGGGGGCAAGAGAATATAAACGATTATTTTCTTGTTTGGTGGCCATAGCCTCAGGAGTTTTGTAAATTTTAGAGGAAAGTTAAAGCCTCTAACCTCGGTCTTCATCTGATCGAGAACCTCTTGTCTGAAAAAGGGTAATTGGTAAATCTAATACCAACTTAAGGATGTTAATCCATACTTGTATTGAATTAGCACTGAATAACATAACAAAAATAAAACGTTTTAAGCATCCAAGAAAAAACTGAGCATGTCATTTCAGTCTTTTGCTGCACAACTTAAGAAGTGCTGCTTATTTCACTATCGTTTGCGTCAATGGACTACTTACCAACGCAAGTTTTTCCATTCCCCGAATACCCAGCTTTACATGCGCAGCTATGGGACCCTTGACTATTACTGCAAATAGCGCTGGCGTCACAGCTGTGGGAGTTTGTGGAACATTCGTCTATATCTGTGACAAAAATTTTAATAAATGCTAGTTAAAATTCAATGAAGCACTCTAACATAAGTCTACCTGTAATCAATCCTTCTTTTTCCTTGCTCCCATTGCAGGTAGAAATATTACCTACTCTTAGTTAATTTTGAACCCTAAATAATCCTTATTCTGCAATTGTAAAAGTTAACGGTTAATCTCGAATTAATTCTAAACTTATACTCTCATTGATAATTTTTTGAAAAGCAAAGCATAGATTATTATTATCACTATTTTCAAAACTTTCATCACTACCATAATCATCACAGCCTTGTAGTTTGACATTGTAATCACTTCGAGTTTCAAATGCATAGGTTTACCAACTTAAGGATGTTAATTCATATTTTTATTGAATTAGCACTGAATAACATAACAAAAATAAAACGTTTTAAGCATCCAAGAAACAACTGAGCATGTCATTTCAGTCTTTTGTTGAACAACTTAAAAAGTGCTGCTTATTTCACTATCGTTTGCGTCAATAGCCTACTTACCAACGCAAGTTTTTCCATTCCCCGAATACCCAGGTTTACATGCGCAGCTATGGGATCCTTGACTATTACTGCAAATAGCGCTGGCGTCACAGCTATGGGAGTTTGTGGAACATTCGTCTATATCTGCGACGTAAGTTTTAATAAATGCTAGTTAAAATTCAATGAAGCAGTCTAACATAAGTCTACCTGTAATTAATTCTTCTTTTTCCTTGCTCCCATCGCAGGAAAAAATAATAACTACTCTTAGTTAATTGTGAATCCTAAATAATCCTTATTCTGTAATTATCAAAGTTAACGGTTAATCTTTAATTAATTCTAAACTTATACTCTCATTGATAATTCTTTGAAAAGCAAAGCATGAATAATTACTATCACTATAAGTAACATAAGTCTACCTGTAATCAATCCTTCTATTTCCTTGCTCCCATTGCAGGTAAAAATATTACCTACTCTCAGTTAATTGTGAACCCTAAATAATCCTTATTCTGTAATTGTCAAAGCTAACGGTTAATCTCAGGACAACAACTGAGAAACGAATAAAGAGTGGCATTCAAAACAACCAAAGAAGAGGCAACCAAACATATCAACATATAAGGCACCGGGTTATTATTACGAACAGCGTGAATGTCACAAGCTGTACGAGTTTCACAAACACTCGTCAATATCTTAAACTTTTATAAGGATCGCTTAGATTTGTTAAGAAGTTGAAGACGGTTCTCTTAGCTGAGATAGAACGGTACAATCATGTCAATAAGAAATAAGAGGGGCTAAATGGTACACTTTCTCTACTTTCAAGAGTTTAAAGTTGGTCATACCATTGCATGTTCTTCCATCACCAGAATACCCAGCTCTACAGGTACAGGTGTACGACCCCACGGTATTCGTACAATCTGCGTTGTCTGCGCAGTTGTCAGTGTGCGTAGAGCATTCGTCAAAGTCTGCCAAAATCAACATATAACAATTTAAGTCTATGCCCATACCATATGAAAAAGAAATGATGAAGAGATCTGTATTTGTTGTTGGGAGGGATTATCTTAGCACAGCAAGGAAAAAATTTAGAAGCTTGGCGACTGAGATCTTTAGGAACGTCCAATAACTAGAAGTACTCATCAAGTAAAGAAAAAAGTCTGGATTGAAAAAGAAATAGCATGTTTCCATTTATCAAGGTTACCTCAGTTTCAATAACTACTCAAGGTGTTATTCAAAAACAATAACTACTTGCAAGACAATAAACTCATTACCTGTAAAGCACGTAAAATTGAAGCAACTTTTGCATGGTACGTCATTCCAAGCGTACCCATGCTTTGCACCAAGAGTGTGCACGCAGTCTTGGTTGTTCCAGTCATTTGGAAC